AGAGTGAACCATTGTGCCACACACCCCTACATGACCCTCAAAAAAAGAAAAAGAAAAAAACAATCATCAGCTAACTACCCCATTATAGGGTTATCACATACCTTTTCAGCAAAGTCTGCAGGCACTAAATGAATGATCTGAAAAACTATGATAAAATCATGATTCATACCTCTGTCTCAAATTTCCCGTTGATTAGCTCCACAGCTTCTTAAGCATAGACACATCAACATCGCCATTTGGAAGAGGAATAACCATATTATCTAACATTATCCGGGTCAAGGAAGTCTTCATTTGAGATGCGTACTGCAATACTTCCTTTACTTCCTCAAGTGTCCGGGTCTCAACCTTGAAATAGACATTGTAAACATATCTGTTACAGTTGCCACAATGCAACAACTGATTGATTCATTTCCACGTTCACACAAGCAAACAGAGAGAAGAGAGCCACTCCAAAGCATTGCAAATTGAATAAAAAATTCCACTCAAACATATTTTTTTGGGAATGATGCGTACTTCAACACAGAGTTAAATAAAGTTGCAGGATACATGATAGACCGTGCGGAAATTTACATATTTGTAAACGACTCTATTAACTAGTCCACAGCACAAAACTTTTAATTTGCAATAGTTTTAACATCGGAATAAATACCTCAACCTCCATTTGAAGATTTTCTCGCTCTAAATACTGGTCAACAGATCTAACAGCATTACTGATTCCCCCAGCTATTGATATATGATTATCCTTTATCAACACCATATCAAATAAACCCAGCCTATGATTCTTTCCTCCACCAATTAGTACCTACAGAAAGAAAATTTCAAAAATATCAACCCAAGGCATAAGAGAAAGAACTAAGAAAAAACTAACAGTAAGATCAATGAAATGATCCACACCGCCCATTTGTCCACCAAACGTAAGCCCGGAGCTGTTTTTCTTGTCTCTAAGATGTATGCAGGGTGCGCAGCATCAGCCATTGCCTGCAGGAACACCTTGTGAAGTTACTCCAGTGATAAGCTTTAGCTAGGAGTAGTTTTATAGCTACTGAGCATAAATGCTGTAATTTGCATTCCGTGACTGAATTCACGGGTTAAAATAGATTTGGATTTCATTTACATCTGTTTCTTCATTATACTCATTGTGCATACATGACTAAATAATGACATGTATTTGTATTTTTCATTAGTATGTGAATTGGCCATGTTCTGACCATATGTACAGGTGGCAAAACAAGGCCACATAATAAGCAGTCACAAAAATTAAAACTTCTACAGGAATATAGAGTATATAACACTAATAATCCAAGAAGTTATAAGCATTTAGAGTTTTTCTATTGTCATCCATATTATCTGTTATATAGTAAACAATTTGCTTGATTACCACAGAGAAACAGCTAAGATTATGAAACTCATTTCTTTGTTTATAAAATTCAAAGAAATGGACTAACCTTAGTTAGTGTAGCTATACCACTCATCCGCTGCATGAAGTTCAGAGCTATTCTTTCAGCTACAACAATGCTGTGTGCTCTTCCTATATCGATAGAGTGTAATTTTAGTATGGCCTACTTACACAAAAATTAAGAAACACTCTTTTAGGATTACCATAAACTTTTCCAAACTGCAGTCCCTTGTGAACATAATCCCCATCCTTTCGAGACCATCCACCTGATATCAGAGTGTACAAAAGGAGAGAGAGTGTGATCCAAGCACGAAAACCGTAAGGATGATCCAAAGACAATACAGTTGTGTACCTTCAAGAAGATCAACCTCTTGAAACACCATCTCAGCAAGTGCAATTCCAGCAACGATGCCATCCTCCTTTGCTAGAAAATAGGCTTCCACTTCCATATCAAATGGAATGGTGGCCATACAAGTTACATCCCCTGCAATCGAACCCAAATATCGCATATATCAATGGCAGGAAAGAAAATCGCTAGATTTAGCTGAATGCTTGCTCCCTAATCATCAAAATGACATAATCTTCATCTCATCATGAATTCAGGAAAGATCAGGAAAGAAACAAAAACACCGAAAAAAACGGATACACTAAAACCTTGATTTCCAGCATCTTCAGTTAGGGCAAGTTAATGATGCCCTTTAAATCATAAGTAGGGTGTGAAGGAGGTTTTATCGCCATCGCTTCCAACGATAGTCCAGATTTGCCGTTGAGCAGCAGCCATTCTAACAACACGCCTACAACTTCGGAACACAAAATCAGGCACGACCAACTACTAACCACAAAGGGTATTCATAATCCAAACATAAACACATTTACCTAGAAATCGTGCACCAATTGGGCAAAACTTGAGGAAAAAGAAAGTATTCCAGACATGAACTCGTGTTAATCTCTCTATTATAGTCCAGTGAGCTCTCTGTCTGTTACCTCTAAGATACCTCCCAGTAACAGCCCAAAGCGTCAAAAACTATGTGGGAAATGGAAATTGCTATGAAAACCATTAAACGTCAGAATTTCATGCTTCAAAGGCGCCCATCAGGATTTTAGAGAAGAATATCGACCCATACAGTAATTCGAGCAAAAAATGACAAATAAATGAACATGTAAACAAGATAGATGGATGAAGGCTTGCACCTTATGCTAATCGATATAGAATAGCCGGTTTGGGAATTTGGAGCTGCTTGTGAGTAAATGACCAATGCGCAATTCGCTTCTTCTTAAAAAAAAAAAAAAAATCGAGGATAAACGCAACAAAAAGGCTTTGTTTTTATTTTATTTGTTGAGTAAACTATGTATTTTAGTCATCCACCTATCACTTTGATTTTGTTTTGATCATTACACTATATTTTCTTTCAAAATCATCACTACATAGTCACATTATGTTTTGGTTTCATCTTGGTTAATCGATGTTAACAAATTAACGTAATTATTGATGGGCTATCTTTTTAATGATGACATGACATTACCTTATTATGACACGTCACAATCAACACTAATATTTTATTACAAGTGATTAAAATAAAATCAAAACATAATATTAATGATGATTTAAAAAAATTAATTGAATACTCATAACAAAACTAAATAAATAATTAAATAACTAAATATGAGTTTAAATAATTATATTTGTAAAGCATACACGTTATCAATGAATAAGAAATATTGTGAATAAATATTGCCTTATAATTACTTTAGATTATTTAAAAGAAATTATATTAATGGTCAATTTTGTTCTACCTTTAATCATTAATTTAAAATTAATTACATTAATGGTCAATAATTGGATAACTAAATATGAGTTTAAGTAATTGTATTTGTAAAGTATATATGTTTTTAATGAATAAGAAAGATTTTGAATAAATATTACCTTATAGTTACTTTAGACTATGAATGTGTATTATCCTATTGAATATTTTCGATCAAATTTAAGATGTTATATCGCATGTGAGTCTATTCAAATTTATCTTGATATTGATCAAAATATATTTCAGTTACAATTAGAATATATCTATATTAGAATTTATATATATTTATTATAATTTTTATCTAGATATATTTTAATTATTGATTTAATTATATATTTTAATGAATTTTTTTTTATAATTATATCTATTTGAATTGTATAATTTTTAAATATATAGGAGTATAGTTTGAAGACAAATTTAACCCATCATCTACTATAGCTATAAAAGATATAAGCATACCTAGACAAAGCTATTAAGGAGCTGGATGGGCTCTGCCCCTATTTTTTTTTATATTATGGTATTTTAATTTTGAGCAAATTACACATTTAGTATTTAAACGATCATTTTTTGTACAGTTTATCAATTTTTTTCAAAAGTATATCTAACGTTTATTTTTTGTTTCATTTTAATATCTAAGTCTTAAAATGACTGAGAATATAGTTGAGTGATGAATGATGTAATTTACTCATAAAAAAACGCCAAATGCATATCACCCGTTAAGTTTTTAACGGTGAGGTACTAAGAAACAAAACTAAACGTTGGTATGATTTTGAAAATTTTAAAAGTTTAGATACTAAAACGGGCTAAAATGATAGTTTAGTACTAACATGTAATTTCTCCTTTAATTTTTATTTTAAATATCAATTAAACAAAGTGGTTTGTCTATTTTAATTCTAAATATAAATACATAATAGATTTCCATTTTTCAATGTATTGATTATATAATTTTATATACTCATGAATTAAACATCAACTCATAATTTATATTAAAAAATAATTTTAAATTTATATACTAGTATCATCTTTGATTCCATAACGGCATAGAATTATATATTGCATACATTCTGTCTATAATTCGTTAAAACTTTATTTGAATTTTAAAATTATAAAATTTTAGAAGATTCAAAAATAAATTAGGGCAAACTACGACAATGATCACTAATGTTAGGGTTAGTGTTCGTTTTCATCATTGATATTTCAAAAATCACAAATCGATTATTAACTTTATCGTTTGTTACAAAGCGATCAACGTTAATAACAGTCAATGTTAGTGACGAAAATTGAATTGTACCCAACAAAGAAATACTATAATCGAAAGATTACTTTTTAATCTTAATAGTCGAGAGAGTTAATCGAGAAATTCTATAATTGTGAGATAATTTGCGTTTTTTACACATAATAAAATATACGCATCACTTAATTATGTTCGATATTAAAATCCTAATTCGAATCCAGACAATCTATCCTACTCTACTTATCCTCTCCAGTCCATCTTGTTTCTACCAAAAGCCCATCGTGTCCTCACCACCACTACCAACTCCACTCTTTTTCAGTACTCTTAGGTCGTAAGCTGCAGCCAACTACGCTTCACTGCCGGCGAGCATACCGGACAATGGCATCCTCTAACTTGAACGATGAGAATCCCACTTCCCACTCCATTAGAAAAAGGCCACTTATCATTGCCCATCAAAATCGGTTACAGTCGCTACGAAGCTTAAAACAGCTACTGTTCCTCTCCAGGTTTGTTGCTCACTTTACTTTTTTGAAGGGGGAAAATGTGATCAGAGATGGGTTTTAGATAGATTCCATGTTTGCACATTCATTTTGCTTAAATTAGTTACGAACCCAAGATTTAAATCAGTATTTACCTATTACATCGGTTACAGTCGCTACGAAGCTTAAAACAGCTACTGTTCCTCTCCAGGTTTGTTGCTCACTTTACTTTTTTGAAGGGGGAAAATGTGATCAGAGATGGGTTTTAGATAGATTCCATGTTTGCACATTCATTGTTGCTTAAATTAGTTACGAACCCAAGATTGTTAAATCAGTATTTACCTATTTTGCTTAAATTATGTTATCTGGATATGGTTTGATAATTGATACATACAGTTATAAGTTGATACATATTTAATTTGATAGTGTAGTTTAAGATATTATGAATGCTTTTAATAGCCAAGAGCTACTGTCAACTATGGCATACCATATTGTACATGAACAAAATTAACCAAATTTGAACCCGAGGCCTTGCTTAAGGGGCATCGAGCTACTTATCACTCGATCTAAAAGATATTGGTAAGAAAAATGTGAATTTAATAATTACTGTGGGTGGATTTGCCCATTTGATGTTTCACAGCTACTTTGTTCAAGTATGATCCACTGAAGATGGTGTTGCCTGATATATCAGACTGAATGTGAGTTTGTATGATGTCGGAAGCTACTTTCAAGGTCGACGTTTTCGGTGTCCTCATTTCTTGTTTGAATCTTTGCTCGGTGCTCAATGAGTTCTGGTTCTTTGGACCTCCTTGTTCGTCATTATTTATATGTTCATGGTTCTTTTTGGTTCTTCTACCGAAGAAATTGTTTGAGCTTATGCCTGTAAATATGTCAGTGGGAATGGTATCAGTATTTTTTTCTCGTTTCACTGATAGGAATGATTTACCCTGTTTGAGTAGTTAAACGAGCCAATGGACTCTCTTTGTGGTTGATTCCTGGTATTTGTGCCTCGACTCGTTAACATGGTTTTTCTGTTGATTGTTTGGATTGTAGATTTATATACTCGAATTCTCATTCTTAGCTGTAAGTAAATATATGATGAAGTTGAGTTTTAGAGCTACTAAGATGTTGCCTATATTGCAGACACAAGAATTCTTTTGGGAATCAAGTTTTGTAGAACTAGAATGAATCCTGTGAAACCATTTTCTCGCGAAGAGCATTGTATTCGGTATACGAGCAAAGGGAAAGACTTAATCTGAACGCATTATTTTCTCTTTTGCAGGTGAGGTGTGAGAAAGGACTAAACCGTTAACAAAGAAGGTTTAACTGTTTCACGAAGAGATGATGCAATGTTTAACCGTTGGAGTATTTGGTCTTACTACCTTGTCCCGAAACCGGCTGAAGCTCGTATGAGTAGACTCGAAATGAAGAAAAAGATCATGGAGAAGGCTGGGGTATCTAAGCCAAAAACTGAGAAAAATGGGATGATGAAGTCTCCAACACCAACTTTTCCACTTCCACTGCCACCTCCAGAAGGCACGGCTGGACCATTGGTGGAAGCAACCGTTAAGAACACGGCTCCGCCTAACAATGCTTCGTGATGTCCCGAGCAAAACATTCGTCGATGTGTTAAATACCCCGTAATTTTTAACTTAAGTGAAACCATTGTTCGTTGCATTAAGATATGAAATTGACTTGATTTCCTGGAAAATGGAAGTGTGTAGCTAGTCCTGCATTACTAGACTAGAATATTAACAACAAAAATTGAAACCCTAGGGTGGTAAAATACAAAGAGCAAAGCTTGGATCGGGAGCATATAAATTTGGTGAAAGAAGCAAAAGGGCAGAATAAAGGTGGGAGATGCCGCTGATGCTTTAAGTAAAAAGGGACGATGCAATATATTACATCGGGACTATTAAGGTCTATTACCGTGGGGATGAATACACAGCGGTCTGTAAATTTTGCTATACGATGGACTCCACCTTTGGAGAGGTTATCAAAGTGAATATTGATGGTACCTTTGTTGCGGAGTGTCGATTGTCTGCAATTGGAGTTGTTGCTCGTGATAAGTATGGACAGGTTTGGGTTGGTTTGGCCTAGTCTTCTGTTTGATGTTTTGAGGTGGGTTTTGCGGAACTATCTGCTTTACTCGTTGGTCTTAGAATTACTTGTGATATGAGATGGTCTGATGTTCAGTTTGAAACTGATTCCTTGATGCTCGTCCATAAGATTACACGAACTTCTACAGATATTTCCATCCTCGAGGTATATGTTCAAGAGGCTCGTACTATTTTTAAGGATCATCCTCGTTTTTGTATTTTGTATAATCCTAGAGAATGTAATCAGGTTGCTCACGCATTAACAAGTTGGACTATAAATTCGGGTGGTTCTTTGTTTTTTAAGTCGGTTTGTCCCGACATCATTACTCGGAATGTTAAAAACGATGTCATTGATCTTTGATTAATATATTTTAGGGACTCTCTTTTCCTTACTAGGTTTAGAAGGGGTTAGCCCATGAAAAAAAAAAGGGACGATGCCCTTTTTGTCGCTAAAAGGAATACCCTACAATCACTTGTTATTCACTCATCTTATCGTGATTATTCTATTTTTTTATTTTATTTCCAAAAACTCTTTTTCACCTGCCATTAGCCTAACCATGTTCTTTTGGTCATCTTTTCTCACTAATTAACCACGAATTCTACATTGAGTAGGTTTCACGTTGAAACCAAACTATTTGCAACAACAATATTAAATTCTACAACCAATTTGTCGGTTTTAATAGGGATGGGATGACAACAGTTTAATGGAGAATGAAGGGTCCCCTAACTGTAGGACGTTATTGTTTTTAGTCCTCCGATTATTAAAAGTTACAAAATGATAACCCGATTATTCATTGTGTTCTAAACTCGTCATTTTTTTGTTAAAAAATGATGGTGGTTTGTGTTGGACATTAACCTGCTAACTGGGATATGATAGTCGTTTGAGATTCTGAGATCATAATATATCATATATCAGTCTGCAGATTCATGTCCAACTCAAATTGTCATAATTTTCCAACGGAAAAAGAACGAGTTTGAAACACAATGAATAGTTGAGTGACCATTTTGTAACTTTTAGTACTCGTGGGACTTACAAAAATCAACGTCTTATAGTTGGGAGACCATTTTGTAACATTTAATAGTCAGAGAACTCAATAAAACAACACCCTTTATCGGGAGACAGTTTATGTACTTTACCCTCTCCTTATTTACCACCAAAAATATGAGGGGTAAAATTAGAATAATAAAAACCTTCCTAACAAAATGATGAAAAGTAGATGAAATGGAAAGGGAAATTATGAAAATTAGAAGGAAAAACATGCAATTATTCTTTTCTTTGTTTGAATTAATCACTGGTATCTCATCTATTGACCGATTAATCCAGATCGAGTACTGCAGAGGCGACTCAGGGGAGGACGATCCTCCCAAGCCAGTTTGCTCCATTCGCAAACGCCAAGATTTGAATCCCTGGCCTTACTCAAGTGACCTAATATCTCATCCCATTAGACCAACCGGTTGTTGGTTGCAATTATTCTTTTCTAGTTGTACAAGAAGAAGATGGACGAAAGTGTTAATTAGTGGAAAAAGGAGGAATCCTTTGAAAAAAATGGAAAAGGCAAGGAACCATGCAATGGTGAGTGAAAAGGGTACACAAGAGTCCAATATGTTGATTCTTCCCCCATTTCCCACCCGATTGTGGGGCAGGAAATGGCTACTGTGAGCTGTGAGTAACCACTATTTCCATCCAATATTATTATTTTCTGCAATGAAAACGAGTACTCATCTCCTTGACCGTCTATAACATACCTAAATTGCTAACCTTAATATAACATTTATGTCTTTATTTATAGATAGGGATGGATCGAAAGGTATAAATAGAATAACAGTTCTTTTAAAAAATTTAAATTATCATATATCTTATATTCTTTTAATATTTTTTCATTATTCTAAAATTTTATAAATTTGGTCTCTTAACATAAAATTTTATGTATTTACAAATTAACTAATGAAACACATATTTTTATATATTAATTAGAATTTATTTAGAACCCATATTTTAACATCTTAATGAAGACTAGGGAAGGTGTATATTGTTGTGTGGGTTGGGGGGGGTCCCTTTGATTTTGGACCATCGCATCATTCCCACGTAAAGGGATTCCCTTGTGAAATAAGGCAACGAAGCTCCTCATTAAATTAAACAAAAAAACCGAAAGGAAAAGAGCCCTTAAAAAACACGTCTCATTTGGCCATTGAAATTCTAGGTTTGATTTCCCAATTCTTCACCGAATTCCACTTCACTTCTTAGCCATTCAAAGCTTCTGCATGTACCAAATAACGTAGCCTCACCGCAAGTCTCTTTCTCCTCCTCAACATAAATTGAACATCGACCATCTTCATCTCAGCCTAAAGTTTTCAAGCTTCCCTCGGAAATGATGTCGATCGATACTCGCCGATTTCTATCGTCGGTGGCCGTTTTCGTCGTGATCGCCGCCGTGGCATATCCCACCAGCGGATTGGAGTCAAGGAAGCTTGATGAGAGCACAATACCAGCAGGTGATCAAGGCGTCAAGTGTACCCCGTCATGCATACAATGTCCTCCACCACCACCACCACCATCCCCACCACCAGCATGCCCTCCACCACCTGCACTATCGCCCCCTACACCGAAAAAGCCGCCGACCCGATATTGTCCACCACCGCCGGTGCCACCTAGTCCATCATCCTACATATACATAACCGGTCCACCGGGGAGTTTGTACCCAGTTGACCAGAATTTCGGCGGTGCAGACCGGAATGTTGCGGTGGGGTTATTGGCTCTGGTTTCAGGATTGTTTCTCCTCCTGGCCTTTTGAAATTCGGAAGGTCCTAGGATCCTGTGCAAGAACTTGGACACATCAAGTAAAATTTTCTTTTCTCTTCTTTCGTAAAATTTTAATTTTGGGACAAGAAAATAACTTTGTCCAAAAGGAAAGTTTTAGGACCTACTTGTTGTATCATAATGTTTAGAAACATTACCTATAATCACCTGATTTTGAATCAATAATTTTTTTTTTAATTCCAATCATAAATAATTATTGATTGATCATAGATTAAATTAGATGTTAATGGAGAATAGGAAAATTTAGGCTCAATGTTAGTTGGTCAGTGACGAAGATTTTACGATGGTTTTTAGTTGTTCACATGATATGATAGAGCTATTTCATTGACTCTTACTAGTGTAAATAATACTTTAGATAAAATATCATTATAAAATAGGATAAATTACAAATTTCATCACTAAAATTTACTCTTTCTTATTTTACTCACTGGATTTTAAAAACTCAATGTATTAAGTATATTGAGAAAATTGAAAAGATTTAAAGTACAATAAGTAAAATAAGAGAAAAAATAAAATTGAATCACCAGATTTATAATTTAACCTATAAAATATAGTAATATTGTAAATATAAACAAAAGACAAAATATTATAGCCATCGGATCAGATTTGATGTTATGATCATAACGTGTCAGACTATGATTCAGTGTAAATGGGAGTGAAAACGGATGAGAGATTGACTTCAATTTCGCCACCAAATTATGGGTCCCACTTTTTTGGCACTTGCAATTAGTTACGTTGACACGTCATCATGCCCCCGCTGGGTCATGCTAGCTCATCAATTTTATTGGCAGAATGTCTTTTGTGACCCTCAACTTTACCAGTCTAGCTATTTTAGCATTTGTTTTTTATTGTATATCTTTTTGTTAATTTCTTTTAAAATAATTGACTTGTTGTGACTTTAGGGATATCTCCAGACTCATTCAAAAATCGTATATTCGTTGATCGTTCATTTAGAGTAATGTATTATGACATAATTCATCAAAGATAAAACATGATAATTATCGTTATCATAGATATAACATCGGTCATCATATAAAAGAGATATTTATATTTCAAAAAAAAAAACTAAAGACATAATTGATATCTCTTTTAGACTTAATCTACCCCGTTTGTCTTTTCATCTACATTATCTTTCTTCCCACATAGAAAAACACGAATCAATGATCGTCGTCTCATCGATTACAATTATTCATCCAAATCAAAAATAATGAATTGCCAATGATCGACGAAAATAATTTTTTCTCATCAACAATCGGTGTATTTAACGTGAACAATCTTTGGCATGTACTTCAATTTCAACTAAGTTGGAGATAGTTCAAGTTTTAGTCCAATCTAATCTTTGTATCTATTCCAATTTCATCCTTTTTTGCATCATTAATTGCACTTTTGACCTCTCTATCTTACATGCACTTCAATTTAGTCTCATTTTACAGACTAATTGCATGCATCCCTTTATTCTCTTTTGCAATTTAGCACAAACATGATAATTAATTTAGTTTTTTAATTATTTTTCACATTATTGATTTTATTTTAGCTTTGTTATTAATTTATTATTATTATTATTTATGATCACTAACATTTTTTTTCGTGTAGTATCATTTGTTTTACAGATTTTCATCACACAATTTTTTTTTTTAAATTGAGATAATATGTGTTTTTAAATAATGTGTCGATTTTTTAATAT